TACTGACCAGATAAAATGGCTGCACAAAGATTTTGTAAGCTCCCAAATTACAATAACCTGTAGCCTTTTTTTGTAGACCCCAAGTTCTAGCACTTGGAAAGTTTGCAATAAAGACAGAAGTGAACTCTGAGCTTTAGTTAGTGGGTTTTATCAAAGAGAAAGACACTTTAATAAAGTATCAAGAAAGAATCTTGAAGCACCCCCAGCTCTCAGTTTAGACTCTGCCTCTGCTGGAACCTAATTCACCACAGAGCTCAGCAGTGGGCACTTAGAGGACACCCTGCCGCCCAACATCAGACTTTCATCTGAACTCATGACAGATCAGGCTCTGCCCAGCCTGTCTTGGTATGATTGCTTTAGAGAACGTGTGCTGCCTCCTGTAAATCTCTTCCCACCCAGCCTCAGTCTTACCTGGTGGAGAGATTCTGTAGAGGTGAGCAGAAAGCTGCCTCAGCTGGGAGGTTAGAAGAGCTTGTCCTCTCCGTTTTTCTTCTGAGTTTAGCTGTGCTGGTTTCACTTTTCTATCTCACTGGCAACTTGGGCTTTATTGTTATCCCTCCAATCTCCTGGCACTTCCCAGATTTTCCTCAGACACCCAATGATAAGAAAGCAAAACTGTTGGGAAATGTCTGCAAAGAAATAGACAGCACTGAAACTGAAAGTAGAATCTAAGGCTACAAAGGGACTGCAAGAGCTGTGCTAGGGAGAGAGCGTGACATGGTTTCTCAACTGGGATCTTTACATTTTATAATTAGAAAACGTCTCAGAGACTGCTGAAAAGAAAAACGAGAGAAAGATCCATTAGGACAATTAAAATAATGCTGTTTATTTCTTGTTTGGAGACAGTTTGAAAAGTATTAGGATGAGAAAACCTAATATAACAATTTTCTAGGTCCAATTAGATTCAGTCACACTGTAGCTGGTTACTCGTGTTCAGTGAGTGAGGACTGTAAGTTCTCCGGGGGAACGACTATGTCATACATTTATAATTCTCCATATCTAACCCTAGTACTGGTGCTTAGTGGTTAATAAGTAATAAAAAATGAGGTTAGATTCCATTTTTTGCACACTTGATTCCTACCCAGTGACAACTTCTTTACATGCATTATCCCCTCTTAGTCTTATACCACAATATTATTTACTTTTACCACAATATTAGAGAGATTTATAATGTGTTAAAATCACAAGGTAGTAAGTATGATTGAACCCTGAAAGTCTTTCTCCAGAACCCATGCTATCAACCAACTCACTTAATACCTCTGTTGTTGCCAAGTGAACAACAACAATAATAATATTTCTTATTTATCAATTGCTTCCCAGGCCAAACTCCTCACATATTATTACCTACTACATATAATAATTAGGCAGATTGGGTTTGTAGTCCTTGGGCTCTTTGGGGCTTCCCTTGTACCTCAGCTGGTAAAGAATCTGCCTGCAATGCAGGAGACCTGGATTTGATCCCTGGGTTTGGAAGATCCCCTAGAGAAGGGAAAAGCTACCCACTCCAGTATTCTGGCCTGGAGAATTCCATGGACTGTATAGTCCATGGGGTTGTGAAGAGTCAGACACAACTGAGTGACTTTCACTTTCACTTTCTTTCCCTTGGGCTCTTTTGATTGAGGACATCCTTGGGACTTTGACTTATTCTTTTCATGGCCTTCCAGCTGTTTCAAGGCCTCTGTGCTCTACATCAGGAGTTCTAAGCCAGGATTCCCCAAAGGTCATTCTACTGAACAGTGAGCCTCTGGAATGCTCCTTGACAAAAATATTTCATGGCCAAGTAAGTTTGAGAAATCTCTTGTTCCTCTGTTAGAGCTTTACCAGGAATAGAAAAGAGCAGAGGGAGGAAAAGAGAGAGGGAGAAAGGGTTCTATAATTTACTTCTCACATCATCCTTTTTCTCCTTCAAGTAACTGATGTTTCTATGTACTGCTCTTTGTTGATTCATATAATCTTATCTCGATGTTCAACCCATTTTCTGAGTTTGAGTTAAATTCTTTGAGTGGTTTCATTACCCTTTTCATGCTACCAAGGTCCCACTTACTAATCTGATTGTAGGCACCTGGGAAGAGCAATTTTCCTTCTCTGTCTTTGGAAGTACCTAGCAAAGTTCTAAGCACACAGATGATGCACAAACACTTTTGATATAACAACCAATGATTGAAAAACAGTGGCACCTAAATGTAATCAAATCCATACTATGCACCAACCTTTGTTCCATGCATTTGGTATTAGTATTAGAAAGAGTAAATGTAGAAATATAAACAAAGTACTAGATTTGTCCCCATTTTACAGATGATAAAACCTGAGGCTCTCAGAGACTGTGAATTGTCAGAAGTCCTAGACTAGTAAATGTGAATCTGGACCTGAATTTGGAGCCATCTAGATCTGTCTGATTTTGAAGCCAATGCTCTTTCTATTAATGTATAGTTTAAGGCTCATAACAATACTTTAGATATGGGGTACTTATTATCCCCATAGTTAATGAGGAAAAAGGGTCAGAAGGTAAGAAATAAGTCAGCCTAAATATTCTTGTATACTTTAAAATATACCCTTTGTATGTTGGCTACAGTGTTCTATGGATATTCAATAGATATTCAATAGAACTTAATACAATTCAGTGGAATTCCTTTCTTTGCTCTTCATTCCATTCTAGGTCTCCGAATTTCCATCCAGCAATATATACAAATAGATAGCAATATAATATAAAGATGAATAAAACTAATCTTCACCTGAAAAATTACCTCCTATTTAGTTGAATAGAGAGTTAAATAATAAACTACTAAATGGCAAAGATTAGAATCAGCGGGAATAAGAAGAGCAAGTGTGGACAGAGAAAATTGTAATGCTAAAGCTATGGTGGATGCTCATTTAAAATATTACCTCAGACTTATGCCTCAAATGACAGCTTGAGGACCACCAGTAATCATTTAAAACTGGCAGAAATGATGATTTTTAAATGAATGGTCCTAGGCCAATGAATATCCACAAGGAAAAATGAGAAAAAGACTTCCATGTCATACCATACACAAAAAGTTATTCCAGAAAGATTGTAGAATTCAATTTAAAAGGGAAAACAATAGCCTCTAGAAAATAATATGGAAGAATAGTTTCAAGTATTTGAGGATCAGTTCAGTTCAGTTCAATCCCTCAGTTGTGTCTGACTCTTTGCGACCCCATGAATCACAGCATGCCAGGCCTCCCTGTCCATCAGCAACTCCTGGAGTTCACACAAATTCATGTCTATCGAGTCAGTGATGCCATCCAGCCATCTCATCCTCTGTCATCCCCTTTTCCTCCTGCCCCCAATCCCTCCCAGCATCAGGGTCTTTTCCAATGAGTCAACTCTTCCCAAGAGGTGGCCAAAGTATTGGAGTTTCAGCTTCAACATCAGTCCTTCCAATGAGCACCCAGGACTGATCTCCTTCAGGATGGACTGGTTGGATCTCCTTGCAGTCCAAGGGACTCTCAATAGTCTTCTCCAACACCACAGTTCAAAAGCATCAATGTTTCGGCACTCAGCATTCTTCACAGTCCAACTCTCACATCCATACATGACCACTGGAAAAATTACAGCTTTGACTAGATGGACCTTTGTTGGCAAAGTAATGTCTCTGCTTTTTAACATGCTATCTATGTTGGACATAACTTTCCTTCCAAGGAGTAAGTGTCTTTTAATTTCATGGCTGCAATCACCATCTGCAGTGATTTTGGAGCCCCCAGAAAGGAAGTCAGCCACTGTTTCCACCTCTATTTTCCATGAAGTGATGCGACCAGATGCCATGATCTTAGTTTTCTGAATGTTGAGCTTTAAGCCAACTTTTTCAGTCTCCTCTTTCACTTTTATCAAGAGACTTTTTAGTTCCTCTTCACTTTCTTCCATAAGGGTGGTGTCATCTGCATATCTGAGGTTGTTGATATTTCTCCTGGCAATGTTGATTCCAGCTTGTGCTTCTTCCAGCCCAGAGTTTCTCATGACATACTCTGCATATGTTACATAAGCAGGGTGACAATACACAGCATTAACGTATTCATTTTCCTATTTGGAACCAGTCTATTGTTCCATGTCCAGTTCTAACTGTTGCTTCCTTACCTGTATACATGTTTCTCAAGAGGCAGGTCAGGTGGTCTGGTGGTCCCATCTCTTTCAGAATTTTCCAGTTTATTGTGATCCACACAGTCGAAGGCTTTGGCATAGTCAATAAAGCAGACATAGATGTTTTTCTGTCACCCTCTTGCTTTTTTGATAATCCAGCGGATGTTGGCAATTTGATCTCTGGTTTGTCTGCCTTTTCTAAAACCAGCTTGAACATCTGGAAGTTCACGGTTCACGTATTGCTGAAGTCTGGCTTGGAAAATTTTGAGCATTACTTTACTAGCGTGTGAGATGAGTGCAATTGTGCAGTAGTTTGAGCATTCTTTGGGATTGCCTTTCTTTGAGATTGGAATGAAAACTGACCTTTTCCAGTCCTGTGGCCACTGCTAGGTTTTCCAAGTTTGTTGGCATAGTGAGTGCAGCACTTTCACAGCATCATCTTTTAGGATTTGAAGTAGCTCAACTGGAATTCCATCACCTCCACTAGCTTTGTTTGTAGTGATGCTTTCTAAGGCCCACTTTACTTCACATTCCAGGATGTCTGGCTCTAGGTGAGTGATCACATCGTCATGATTATCTGATTCATGAAGATCATTTTTGTCAAAAATTAGCCCTTTTGTTTACCTTATGATTCTGTATTTACCAATTTCCAATGTGATAGATTATCTTACTCAAATAGGAGAGGAGAAGCACTCAATATATAATACACATATGTCAACCTTTCTTTTTCTTGGTACCCATTTCTCTAATATTAGATTCTAAACTTCCTCTGTGAGCCTACGCTCTGGTCACTGGGGTTTCCAAGTAACAGCAATGATGGAGCCACACCTACAGTTCATTCACCAAGCACCTTAGCATGGCCTCAATCCAGCCCCAAATCAAGATTGACATCAAGTGCTGAATGTCAGGGCTCTTGATCCAACTTCCTACTGAGCTTTCTGCCACCTTGCCCCTGCAAGTTGATACCTGGAATCAACTTCAAGGCATTCTCCGGGTACTCATATTCACTGATGGGATTCCCATCTAACTCCAGCTCCAGCATGAAATCCTGCACAGTCCAGATTAAGTCTGGGAAGAAACTCACAAACTCGGTTGAGTCCTCTACTTCTTCGGAGCTGGGAGATGATTTGGTTCTGATCAGTTCTGTTAATTCAGTCACATAGCTGGGATCTTAGCTAAGGAATAAATAGCACTTTCCAACACAATCTCCAGATCTCACCCCAAAACAACTTTTACAAATATTCCCCTTTGCCCCATTTTACTATCTCATCTGCCAACAGAATGGAGTCATGGAAAAGAAGAAACATTGTCAGTTGCTATTCTTAGGAACTCAATGGAATGTACTCCTTCAGTTCTGGAAGAATACTGCAGCTGTTCCAGGGCCTGGTGGTTGATGGTGTTCACCCTGTTGTAGACAAAGCGGCTGCTCAGGAGCACAGCCAGGGCAAAGATCCTCGAGTCATTCTTGGAGTCCCCTAGAGAGTACATTACAGCGTGAGGATGCTACTCCTTGTGCCCTCATTCAGTTGTTCATTTACTATGACAGCTGTACTGTAACTCAGCAGTGAGACCAATAACACATTTTCAAGACAATGAAAATGCAAACCTTTCTGGTGAAGATATTGACCCCTCTAAGCACTTGAGTGTGATCAGCTACTAACAGAAGTGAGTGATGCCCTGCTACTGCTGCTGCTGCTATGTCGCTTCAGGCGTGTCCGACTCTGTGTGACCCCATAGATGACAGCCCACCAGCCTCCCCATCCTTGGGATTCTCCAGGCAAGAATACTGGAGTGGGTTGCCATTTCCTCCTCTAATGCATGAGAGTGAAAAGTGAAAGTGAAGTCACTCAGTTGTGTCCGACTCAGTTGTGTAGAACCCCATGGACTGCAGCCCACCAGTCTTTCCATTCATGGGGCTCTCCCGGCAAGAGTACTGGAGTGGGGTGCCATTGCCTTCTCCCTATGTGTGCTTAAAATGTTTAGTACAGTGCCTGGAACATAGAAGTTGTGGGACAGTAAATGGGTGTTGGTTGACTTTCCAACATTTTCCTAATATATCATGGTGTATATTAAGAACACAAATGATATTCAGTTAAATTAATCAACTACTAATTGTGCATCTAACTAACAGGAGACACTTATTTGCTTGCTTGGATATAAAGTTTCATATTATACTCCTTACCTTAGAGAGAGGGCATTGAAGAGGTGCAGGTATACCTGGGAACATAATCTTATTGGAGATGTTTACATGCATCCAAGATGATAAGCTGCTAGGCATGGAATCAAATGTTATGTTATAAATGGCAAAGGTAAGCAAGTAAGTGTTAGTTTCTCAGTCGTGTTCGACTCTATTCGACCCCATGGACTGTAGCCTGTGGGGCTTCTCTGTCCATGGAATTCTCCAGGCAAGAATACTGGGGTGGGTAACCATTCTCTTCTCCAGGGAATCTTCTGGACCCAGGGATTGAACCTGGGTCTCCTGCATTGCAGGCGGATCCTTTACTGTCTAAGATACCAGGAAAACCCATATGCCCAAACCAGAAAAAATACTCTGTGCATTCAGAGCAGTAGTGCTTATGTCTGACTGTAATATGATGGTATTAAGAAATAAAGAGCTGGAATTTAAAGAATTGACAGAAGATGGATTTGTGGGGTTATAGAAATCATGCAGCTGGAAGGACCCAAGAAGCCAATCATAATTGCCAGAAAGTGTGGTCATGTAAAGGTATTACACAGTTATTTTATTTGACTGAAGTAGTGATTACTTGTGTGGTAGTAGATGATGAGGCTGAAAACAACATTCAGGGCAAGTCATGAGTGACTTTGGAATAGAATACACACACACACACACACACACACACACACACACACACACTCAGGGTTTCCCTCGTAGCTCAGTCTGTAAAGAATCTGCTTGCAATGCAGGAGACCCAGTTTCATTTCCTGGGTTGGGAAGATCCCCTGGAGAAGGAAATGTCAACCCACTCCAGTATTCTTGCCTGGAGAATCTCATGGACAGAGGAGCCTGGAAGACTATAGTCCATGGGGTTGCAAGATTGGACTTAGTGACTAAATCATCATCATATAAACTATCAAGATACTTTATACTAATATGAGCAGGAAGTAGTTCTGCTATCAGTGTCCAGTTCAGTGTGCTTTGGTTTTTTTTAAAAATGCAGTTAAATAAAAAGAAGAGTGTCATGAAAATTACAGTCTATTACGAATCCATAGACCAACTTGGGTTGACACTAATGTGATTATTGAATACATTAAATCTGGATTTTTAAATTTAGAATTTCTAAATTTATGCACCAGCTCTTTTCTACAATGATGAAGGCCAAAGATTCAATACTACTGCTTTCTTGTATAGATACAGATTACTATAAATAAGTCAAAAAGTTTGATTACAACTAAAACTGTAAAGACAACATTTCTAAAATTATCCCATTTACAAAGTTCTTGGTTAAAGTAGCTCATGCTTCTAGATAAGTCAATGAAGAATTCATCTTCAGAACCTAAAATGTTCCTGGGATAGCTGAAACTTTTCTGGAGATTTGAAAAATACATTATTCAGAGAAATCCTACGTTAACTGTTCCTACCTACACCACCATCAACTCATCAACTCCACATATTTCAACGACTAGATCCCATTGATTGAATGGGTTATAGCTTTCATAAGGAAGTTTTCAGGAACCTGAGCAACTGGGATAGATTCTCACATTCTTTTCCTCTTGCTTCCCTGTACTGAGAACACTGATTATTTATCTCCCCAGCTCAGCTTTGGGTCTTTAACTCACTGAGACATGTGTTACACTTCATCCCCAGGATTCAAATAACCAATGAATATTTATTAACTTGTATGGGCTCCCCTGATAGCTCAGTTGCCAAAGAATCCACCTTCAATGCAGGAGACTCCAGTTCGATTTCCGGGTCAGGAAGATCCTCTGGAGAAGGGATAGGCTACCCACTCCGGTATTCTTGGGCTTCCCGTGTGGATCAGCTGGTAAAGAATCTACCTGAAATTCAGGAGACCTGGGTTGGATCTCTGGATTGGGAAAGTCCTCTGGAGAAGGGAAAGGCTACCCACTCCAGTATTCTGGCCTGGAGAATACCATGGACAGTATAGTGCATGGGATTGCAGAGTTGGGTAGGACTGAGAGACTTTCACTATATCTTTCACCCCAGTGTTATAAATAATAAAAATTTATTCTTATCAACTGAAGTATATATTTTATCAAAGAATTAATTCAAGGAAAGAGAATTTGACCTCATCATTCATAATAGGATTTGCAGTTTATAGGAACATGTCATAAAAATCAAATCGAGGTGGGAAGTTGAAATGCAAGTGGAGTCTCAAGAGTAAAGATTTCCTGTGTTACCTTATCCACATTGCCCAGACCCTCAGTGTTCAGAAGGACCAGGGTGTGGTTCTCCTTGGAGGGATGGTGCACACACAATATCCAGATGCCCTTGGTTTCAGACCTGACTATGGACCCCAGAGGGAAAACTGCACAGAAAGAAAAGAATGCAACACCCAGTAAGAGCAATCCTCCAGACCGCCCAGGGGTTGCTTTGGGTGAACTTGTGTGCCGATGAATGCCTGCCTAGGAGGAAGATACTTCCATTTTAACAAGGACAGAAAATCCAACCTCTATACATGTTCAGAACCTTCTCAAGGAACACTTTGTTTCCCCTATTCACCTCCTTCCATTAATAGCTCTAACTGTGTCACATTCTAGAAATAATGCAAACTGTATTAAACTTTCTATATTTATCTGACACTGAAGATCCCCCATATCCTCCATCCTTTCTGATGGATATTTACCAGTGAGAAGTACTAGCAGGAGACTAGAAGTCAGGCTTCTGTTCCCCTTGCTTCCACCCTCATCAACCACAGTGCCCCAGTGTCTCTGTTCCTTTACCTTGGTCACATGTTTCGTTTAGCATCATCCATTATCTCTGAGCTTCAATAATTCTGGAATTCACACATTGCTTGCCTTTTTCACTCAACACAAGTTATAAAAGCTACCTGGTGCTTGTTCCTGCCACCTTCTGACAGCTCCATATCCTTCATTGAATCCCTCTGCTTGTGCCCTTGAACTTGTCCCTCCCCTGCCCTCCGCCTTTAAGTTACCTGTTAAGTGGTTTATCTGTGTACTTCTAGCACCTGGACTATACATCAGCTGTTGTCAGATATTCTTCCTTCCCTTCCTCTCTGTATTTTCCTCATTTCTGTTCTCTTCAAAAATGGATGAATTCTTTGTTCATTGACTGAGGTGGGCACGTAACAGCAGGAAATTCAAGACTTATGAGAATTGCTTGCCCATCTTTCTAAAGGTTTAAACCCACAGTGGGAGAGGATGTGAGGTATATGTTGGAGAAGCTGCAGGCAATGTATCTTATCCATACTCCAAGATTTTGACTGTCTGCCATAGGCAATGCTCCATTCAACTGAGAATAGAAATGGGTATGATCAAATACCTAGGGGAGCATGGTTCAGCATGGCTCAGGCCAATCAGCTGCCATGTCCTGTGTGTTCTGCTTAGTGTGGGTATAACACCTGAGATGATCTCTACCCCTTTACATGTTGATGGCATTTGACTTCTTGCTGATTAATACAGAGCAACCTGAGCTTCCAGTTTCACCAAGGAGAAAAGACAGGTGTTACTAGAGTTCATCACTGTCAGGTATTTGAGATAAAGAACAGATAAAGAAGTCATCACAAGGACAGGGAGAGCCGTGACCTGGTCTTGATGGTTCACCTAACTGGGCACAAGTTTCATTTGTTCGGGGTTTGTTCTTCCTGTGATATGACAGGTTCAGTTCAGTCCAGTTGTCACTCAGTAGTGTCCGACTCTTTGCAACCCTATCGACCGCAGCACGTCAGGCCTTCCTGTTCATCCTGAACTCCTGTAGTTTACTCAAACTCATGTCCATTGAGTCAGTGATGCCATCCTCATCTCATCCCCTTCCCTCCTGCCTTCAATCTTTCCCAGCATCAGGGTCTTTTCAAATGAGTCAGTTGTTGGCATCAGGTGGCCAAATTACTGGAGTTTCAGCTTCAGCTTCAGTCCTTCCAATGAATATTCAGGACTCATTTCCTTTAGGATGGACTGGTTGGATCTCCTTGCAGTTTTCAAGGGACTCTCAAGAGTCTTCTCCAACACCACAGTTCAAAAGCATCAATCTTTCTGCACTCAGCTTTCTTTATAGTCCAACTCTCATATCCATACATGACTAGTGGAAAAACCATAGCTTTGACTAGACAGACCTTTGCTGGCAAAGTAATGTCTCTGCTTTTTAATATGCTGTCTAGGTTGGTCATAAGTTTTCTTCCAAGGAGTAAGCATCTCTCAATTTCATGGCTGCAGTCACCATCTGCAGTGATTTCAGAGTCCCCAAAAATCAAGTCTGTCACTGTGTCCACTGTTTCCCAATCTGTTTGTCATGAAGTGATGGGACTAGATGCCATGATCGTAGTTTTCTCAACGTTGAATTCTAAGACTTTTCACTCTTCTCTTTCACCTTCATCAAGAGGTTCTTTAGTACTTCTTTGCTTTCTGCCATAAGGGTGGTGTCATCTGCATATCTGAGGTTATTGATATTTCTCCCAGAAATCTTGTATCCAGCTTGTGCTTCATCTAGCCCAGCATTTCTCATGATGTACTCTGCATAGAAGTTAAATAAGCAGGGTGACAATATACAGCTTTGACGTACTCTTTTCCCAATTTGGAACCAGTCTGTTGCTCCGTGTCCAGTTCTAACTGTTGCTTCCTGACCTGAATACAGATTTCTCAAGAGGCAGGTCAGGTGGTCTGGTATTCCCATCTCTTTCAGAATTTTCCAGTTTGTTGTGATCCACACAGTCAAAGGCTTTTACATAGTCAATAAAGCAGACAGACATGTTTTTCTGGCACCCTCTTGCTTTTTCAATGATCCAGTGGATGTTGGCAATTTGTTCTCTGGTTCCTCTGCCTTTTCTAAATCCAACTTGAACATCTGGAAGTTCATGGTTCACGTATTATTGAAACCTGGCTTGGAGAATTTTGAGCATTGCTTTATTAGTGTGTGAGATGAGTGCAATTGTGCGGTAGTTTTGAGCATTCTTTGACATTGCCTTTCTTTGGGATTGGAATGAAAACTGATCTTTTTCAGTCCTGCTGAGTTTTCCAAATTTACTGACATATTAAGTGCAGCACTTTCACAGCATCATCTTTTAGGATTTGAAATAGCTCAACTGGAATTCCTTCACCTCCACTAGCTTTGTTTGTAGTGATGCTTCCTAAGGCCCAGTTGACTTTGCATTCCAGGACATCTGGCTCTTGGTGAGTGACCTCACCATCGTGGTTCCTTTTTGTATAGTTCTTCTGTGTATTCTTGCCACTTCTTCTTAATATCTTCTTTTTCTATTAGGTCCATACCATTTCTGTACTTTATTGTGCCCATCTTTTCATGAAAAGTTCCCTTGGTATCTCTAATTTTCTTGAAGAGATCTCTAGTATTTCCCATTCTGTTGTTTTCTTCTATTTCTTTGCATTGATCTCTGAGGAACGTTTTCTTATCTCTCCTTGCTGTTCTCTGCATTCAGATGGGTATATCTTTCCTTTTCTCCTTTACCTTTCGCGTCTTTTCTTTTCTCAGCTATTTGTCCATTTTGCCTTTTTACATATCTTTTTCATGGGGATGGTCTTGATCACTGCCTCCTGTACAATGTCATGAACCTCCATCCATAGTTCTTCAGGCACTCTCTCTATCAGATCTAATCCCTTGAATCTATTTGTCAATTCCACTCTATAATTGTAAGGGATTTGATTTAGGTCATACCTGAATGGTCTATTGGTTTTCCCTACTTTCTTCAACTGAAGTCTGAATTTGACAATAAGGAGTTCATGATCTGAGCCACAGTCAGCTCCCGGTCTTGTTGCTGAGTATGTAGAGCTTCACCATCTTTGGCTGCAAAGAATATAATCGATCTGATTTCAGTGTTGACCATTTGGTGATGTCCATGTCTACACATAGACAGTCTCCTCTTGTGTTGTCGGAAGAGGGTGGTTGCTATGACCAGTGCATTCTCTTGGCAAAATTCTATTTAGCCTTTGCCCTGCTTCATTCTGTACTCCAAGGCCAAACTTGCCTGTTACTCCAGGTATCTCTTGACTTAATACTTTTGCATTCCAGTCCCCTGTAATGAAAAGGACTTTTTCTGGGTTTGTGCGTGTGTGTTTTTAATTAATTAATTAATTTTACTTTACAACATTGTATTGGTTTTTCATACATTGACTTGAATCTGCTATGGGTGCACATGTGTTCCCCATCCTGAATCCCCCTCCCACCTCCCTCCCCACCCCATACCTCTTGGTCATCCCAGTGCACCAGCCCCGAGCATCCTGTATCATGCATTGAACCTGGGCTGGTGATTCGTTTCACATATGACAATTTACATGTTTCAATGCCATTCTCCCATATCACCTCACCCTCACCCGATCCCACAGAGTCCAAAAGACTGTTCAATACATCTATGTCTCTTTTGCTGTCTTGCATACAGTGTTATCGTTACCATCTTTCTAAATTCCATCATATATATTCATTAGTATACTGTATTAGTGTTTTTCTTTCTGACTTACTTCACTCTGTATAATATGCTCCAGTTTCATCCACCTCATTTGAACTGATTCGAAAGTATTCTTTTTAATGGCTGAGTAATATTCCATGGTGTATATGTACCAAAGCTTTCTTATCCATTCATCTGCTGATTGATATCTAGGTTGTTTCCATGTCCTGGCTATCATAAACAGTGCTGCGATAAACAATGGGGTACACGTGTCTCTTTCCATTCTGGTTTCCTCAGTGTTTATGCCCAGCAGTGAGATTGCTGGGACATATGGCAGTTCTATGTCCAGTTTTTTTAAAGGAATCTCCACACTGTCCTGCATAGTGGCTGTACTAGTTTGCACTCCCACCAACAGTGTAAGAGGGTTCCCTTTTCTCCACACCCTCTCCAGCATTTATTGTTGTAGACTTTTGGATAGCAGCCATTCTGACTGGCATGTAATGGTACTTCATGGTGATTTTGATTTGCATTTCTCTGATAATGAGTGATGTTGAGCATCTTTTCATGTGTTTGTTAGCCATCTGTATGTCTTCTTTGGAGAAATGTCTGTTTAGTTCTTTGGCCCACTTCTTGATTGGGTCTTTCGTTTTTCTGGAATTGAGCTGCAGGAGTTGCTTGTATATTTTTGAGATTAATTCTTTGTCCATTGCTTCATTTGCTATTATTTTCTCCTATTCTGAAGGCTGTCTTTTCACCTTGCTTGCAGTTTCCTTTGTTGTGTGGAAGTTTTTAATTTTAAGTAGGTCCCATTTGTTTATTTTTGCTTCTACTTCCAATATTCTGGCAGGTGGGTCATAGAGGATCCTGCTGTGGTTTATATCGGAGTGTGTTTTGCCTATGTTTTCAAAAGCATCCATTTTTCGGCGCTCAATTTTCTTCACAGTCCAACTCTCACATCCATATATGGCCTCTGGAAAAACCATAGCCTTGACTAGACGGACTTTTGCTAGCAAAGTAATGTCTCTGCTTTTTAATATGCTATCTAGGTGGGTCATAACTTTCCTTCCAAGGAGTAAGCGTCTTTTAATTTCATGGCTGCAATCACCATCTGCAGAGATTTTGGAGCCCCCAAAAATAAAGTCAGCTACTGGTTCCCCATCTATTTGCCATGAGGTGATAGGACCAGATGCTACCATCTTAGTTTTCTGAATGTTGAACTTTAATCCAACTTTTTCAGTCTCCTCTTTCACTTTCATCGAAAGGCTTTTTAGTTCCTCTTCACTTTCTGCCATAAGGGTGGTGTCATCTGCATATCTGAGGTTATTGATATTTCTCCTGGCAATCTTGATTCCAAAGTCAGCACTTTCACAGTATCATCTTTTAGGATTTGAAATAGCTCAACTGGAATTCCATCACCTCCACTAGCTTTGTTTGTAGTGATGCTCCCTAAGGCCTACTTGACTTTGCATTCCAGCACATCTGGCTCTAGGTGAATGACCACACCATTGTGATTATCTGGTTCGTGAAGATCTTTATTGTACAGTTCTTCTGTGTTCTTGCCACCTCTTCTTAATGTCTTCTGATAGCTCCATACCATTTCTGTCCTTTATCGAACCCATCTTTGCCTGAAATGTTCCCTTGGTATCTCTAATTTTCTTGAGATCTCTAGTCTTTCCCATTCTGTTGCTTTCCTCTATTTCTTTGCACTGATTGCTGAGGAAGGCTATCTTATCTCTCCTGGCTATTCTTTGGAACTCTGCATTCAGATGGGAATATCTTTCCTTTTCTCCTTTGCTTTTCAGTTCTCTTCATTTCACAGCTATTTGTAAGGCCTCCTCAGACAACCATTTTGCCTTTGTGCATGTCTTTTCCATGGGGATGGTCTTGATCCCTGTCTGCTGTACAATGTCACTAACCTCTGTCCATAGTTCATCAGGCACTCTGTCTATCAGATCTAGTCCCTTAAATCTATTTCTCACTTCCACTGTATAATCATAAGGTATTTGATTTAGGTGACACCTGAATGACTGGGGTGGTGAGTCACAATTCAGGTGTTTTAAAACTTGACTAAGTTAAGGACTTCAGCTGTAAGGAAAATTTCATTACCTGGTATTATCTCATGAAAAGTAAAAAACAATGTCAAAATTCCTTTACTGATAAAATTTCCTTAGAGTTCTCAAACCTTTAATCCCTCCTAAACTGACCTACTAATTAACTGAGCTTGACAAAGGAAATTGTTCTCCCTTGATTGGTGGTCAAGAGTTCTTATAAAAGGAAAACAGAGATTAAATGTTTTGTGTGAAGCCAATGGGAGATTGCAAAGCAAAGATGAGAGAAGAGAAAGGCAGAATAAAGAGAGTGGGAGAGACTTACAAACACAGCAATCGAGCAAGAGTCCATGGAGAGACAGTGATATAGTACTAGGGATCTTTAGAGTTTGGTGGACTGAGGTTCTAGCCCCTAATTGTGATGAGCCACTAAGTCACAGAGGAAGACATTAGGAAAGAAATGGTGAGTGAGTTTCTTAGACAGAAATGCTGAAGGAGATATAAGCAGATTGTCCTAAAAATCAGTAAGAAGAAGAGAAGTATCCTGCTAGGAGAAAATCAACTCATTGAAATAGTAAATGCAAATAGTAAATAAATATATGATAAGGTACTCAAGTTTATTTGCAATGAAGCAAATAACATGCAACTATACAAACACTAAATGAGCAAAGAACATTAGTGCTTTTCCCTAATTTTTGTGAAGCTATGGAGAATTCTCAGTTTATGCTAATAAGCACATAGAATGAGTATAAGCTTAAAAGATTGTGTTATATTATCTAGAGGGGTTTAAAACATATGTATTCCTAGACCCAGCAAGCCCATTCCTGGGCATATGCCACAAGGGTAGGTAGTGTACATGTGCACAAAGATAGAGATATAAGAATGTTCATGGCAGCTCTGTTCATAAAAGATAAAAGCTACAAATAATACCAATGTTCATCAACAAGTGGATAAATTGTGCTGTCCACAATCAGTAGCGTATTTAAAAGGAATGAAAATAATTTACAGCCACATTTGTCAAACTGGATGAACCCTATAAACTTCTGGAGAATATGAAGCAAGATACCAATGAATATCACAATGTAATGCCCTTTATTAAGTTTAAGCCACTTTTTATAAATATATACAAAGATTGAAAAACTATGTCTAAATAGGAATGGTGAAAAATGCACCATGAAAATCAAAACACTAATGAGTTCTAACAAGAGTGTGAGACGGTGTGATTTGGGGTTTTATATGTTGGTGATGTTTTATTTCTTGAAATAGGCAGTGATTAAACAGCTAATCACTTTGCATACATCAGCTTTATTCTGTGTATGTATATACATATATGGGCTTCCCCAGTGGCTCAGTGGTAAAGAATCTGCATGCAGTGCATGAATTACAGGAGACTAGAATTCAATCCCTATGTCAGGAAGATCCCCTGGAGGAGGAAATGGCAACCCACTGCAGTATTCTTGCCAGAAATATCACATGGACAGAGGAACCTGGCAATCTACAGTCTAAAGCGTCACAAAGAGTCAGACACATCGGCTCCACTGAGCACGACAAACAGCACATATACACGTGTATGTGTACATGTGTATATGTGCTCTTCTGTATGTGTTATAGTTCTACATATAAGAAAAGACTAAATAGAGATAGCTTAGGGGTAGGATTTATCAAAGTTAAAAAAAGGATGGCTGTCCCATTGAGATATAAGAATATAAGCAGGAATTTTGCTATCTGTTCTTCCTTCCATCCCTCTTTAAAAAGTGTATTTAAAATACTTTATATCATTTATTTATATAGTTTTAATTGAAGTATCATCAATTCACAATGTTGTGTTAGTGTCAGGTGTACTGGAAGGAGAGAATGTGCATAACAATATCTAATATATAGACAAATATTGTTTTTAAGATTCTTTTCCATTACAGGTTATTTCTTTCTATTAAAAGAATCAGGACATGTTAAACAACATTTGTGTGACCTGGAAATGACCCTGTGGTTTAGGGCAAAAGTGATGAAGGAGAAACAAAGGCAGTAATTGTTCAAGATGAGCCCCAGAGGAGATTGTAGTGGATTGTAGAGATTGTAATGGTGTCAAGATGAAAGAGGTAGATGTTTTGATGAGGTTGGGAACTCTAGATTACTGGACAGAAGAGTGAACATTGTGAGGAAATGGGTTTGGAGTTATAAATCTGATGGTGAGAATTAGAAGTTTTCTTCTGGGGCGGGGTACGGGTTAGACTCTTCCTTAACATGACCCTAGAGGAGGAGGATCAGCAGCCTGCATTATCACCACTTCCAAGCAAATGTCCTGAACAACACTGAAAAACACTCACTGTGGTTCTGTCCTGCCAGGTGGTTCATCAGGTAGGACTTTCCAGTCCGATAGAGCCTTGCAATGGCCACCACCACCACAGGCTGAGATATCTGCTCAAGAATCTTCTTCAGTGCTCTTGGATTTACTGACAACTGACTTTTCTGGTTTTCCACCAGACAGAAGGGGCCCATTACAATGGATCCAGATGCCACTGGAAACTGTAACCCAGAGGAACAACTCAGTAAAACACAAGATCCAGAAGTCATCCCTCACGGTACTGAGAGGGTAACAGGCAGGAAGGTCAGGGGTCTCCAAATGGAAAAAAAAGAAGCTGCAGGTGCCAGACATTTTTCTCTCTCTTAAGCGGCAGGAAGAAACAAACCAGCGATATGTCTTTCCTTCTCTACACAAATTTAAAAGAGGTTTCTCTTAAAGTTCTGTGTTGCCATAACACCTGGTCTCACCTGAAGCTAACTACTCTCAAACCTTGAGTTGACCAATACGTTTCTTTTTCGTATGGAAATGTTGTCTTAGGCTATGTTAATGAACCCCAGACTCTATCTTCAAGTTGGTTCCGCCAAATGGCCTAAATTTACTTACTCAGGTATTGTTCCCCTAATCTATGTAAATGAAATTATTTGTTGGTAATGCCCTTCTACAAGATTCAAGTATGGCCAGGGATGAATTATCTGGTGTCATTCTAAATTTTATGACATCCTTTTCATTAACAGACTGTGAGTGACTATATAACAGACAGCTAAAGACTAGGAGGGGGGTATTCTTTTGCCCCCTTCTGATGCCTATGTCAGAAGCTTTCTCTATCTCCTTTATACTTTAATAAAACTTTATTACACAAAAGCTCTGAGCGATCCAGCCTCGTCTCTGGCCCCGGATTGAATTCGTCTCCTCCGGAGGCCAAGAATCCCGCGTCTAATCGTTCAGCAACAACCTTTCAGTACGCATCAGCCTTCTGCTTGTGGAACCTGAACATCAATTCTCTATTCTTTGTATGTTTCTGAAAGGTAAGTATTCAGCCTAGTGTGCTAAGGCCTGTACAGGTAAATTATATACATTACCTCATGGATTCCTAATGAACCCTAAAGCAACCTGTCCATGGGAGGCATGCAGTGAATAGAATGAGAACACAAAGCTCTGATGATGGAGCCTTGAGACACAAGCATTTGACGGATATTAGGGGCAGATGGGACGTGAAGGGGATGAGGGGTGACCAGACACCATTTCTGGAGTTCCTGAATTATTTGGTCACTCAGTAATTGCACAAATATTTAATGAGAACCTACCTTGTGCTGGACACTGTCCTAGGCGCTCAGAAGCAAACAGTGAACAAAATGGAGACAAATCCCTGCCTTGTGGAGCTCTCTTTCCGTGGAGGAGACAGAAAATATAGAACATGAAAAAACTAAATATACATATGTTTATTAGAGAACGATAAATGCTAAGAAAGAAGTGAGCAGGGAATGGTGTTTAGTATATTGGGGGTTGAATTTACACAGAGTTTATTCTGGGATGAACTTGCGGGCATAGCAAAAATGAATGTGAAAAGTGTCCTCACAGAACAGATGCAGGGAATCGGTGGGAGCAGGAACAGGCTGGAGGAGAAGTGACTGTGAGACAAAGAAATTGAGATAAAGATAGCCATTCTCTTTTAAACATAACATGACCATAGCAGTGTAAAGTACCTAACAAAGTTATACATGTAAAAAGTATTTTAATATCTGAAATTACAAGACCTTTTTTTTTTTTTAACTGAGAGGGAAGAGAGGCAAGCAACCTGTATTCTAAGGTCTACATAGATATGTCAGAGTCTCCCTTCTGGGCCAAGCTCTCCTATAAATTTTTTCATCAATGTGGTTGGGTGTTTCATGATCTTAAAAGACAGACAGCAGTCAGAGACCTTAATTCGTTTCCTGAAAGACAATACTGAAGACAAGACCACCACATGTTATCATACTTAAGTAACTGTGTGATGACTGGGAAGATTAATTTCTGTGGACCTCAGGTTTCTCTTCTGTACAATGGTGACATGAAGAGTTGAGATCCATCTGTCATTAGGGTCATTAGATGGGTTAAATATCTCATGATGCTTACAATACTCTCTCTCTCTCTTTTTTTTAAGCTGTTAACAATATTGTGATAGTTTCAGGCAGACAGCAAAGGGACTCTGCCATATATATACATGTATCCATTCTCCCCCAAAGTCCCCTCCCATCCAGGCTGCCACATAATGCTGAGCACAGTTCTGTGTGCTATACAGTAGGTCCTTCTTGGTTATCCATTTTAAATGCAGCAGTGTGTATATGTCCATCCCAAACTCCCTAATTATCTCTCCCCCATATCCTTCCCTGCTGGCATACATAAGTTCATTCTCTATACAATGCTCTTAAAACTATGCTGGTGCCTAGCAAATTCTATATAAGTATTGCTTTACAATTGAGTGTCTCTGAAGACAGGGAGGGTCATTTCTGAATGAAAGTGGAGGCTTTGGCCTGAAACAGTAACATTTCCCTCTCTAATTACAAGCAAGTGGGAGGACACAGCCCAAGAGGAAGATGAGCAGGCTGGGGAGATCCAGTGGTAACAGCTGAGACGGAGGACGGTGATGGGGGGAGAGTCAGGCTGGAGGAGCTCAGAGCTGCCCGGCAAAGTCCAAGTCCAGGTTTTGGAGTCGGGCTGCCAGACTTCAAACCTGAGGGCTCATCTCACTTATTTTCTGTTGAGACCCTGAAAATGAACTTAACTCCCTAAGTCACCATTTTCTTATCAATGTTGTAGGAAAAACAATAATTCCTACCTGATTCATTACTATACAGTTGATAACATATAGACTCTTTGAAATTCAAAAAAACTTTTCCTTCATTAACATACTGTTTGAACAGTGAACAAGTTAGACAATGTGTTATAATGTATCAGTGCTTTATGTAAGCTGCAAATTGCCAGGAATTGTAAGGTATCTAAAAATCTTTTTGTCAGAAAAAAGCATGAATATTTTTAAACATAATGCCTCTCTAAAATTCATCTTGTTTTTTTTTTTTAATTTAGAGTGGATTGGGAGCAGAGTTGGGAGAATAAAATGATCCTTTACTTCTGTGTTATGTGAGAATTAATAAAGGGATGCCACTCATACTGAGTCAGCTGGCCAGAAAGAAGAGCTCTCATGTAATATGTTTGGAGGTCAGTTATAAGAAGAACTGTCATTACAGACCCCAGGGGGAAAATCTTCAACAAGGGAGTCATCAGTGACAGTCCCCAACAGGAAAAGATGTACATCGCATCTCCTAGAATTGTCTCCCCCAGCAACTCAGCCAATAAGGACGAGTCATCACCGTGAACTCTTATTTTTTTACCAATGGACTTGTTTGAAAATAATCTTTCCCAACTCCTCCCTTTTCTCCATTAAATAATGTTCTTCTTTCTTTGTTATTTTGCCCATGGCTTTTCTATAGCTTGCTATCCTGGAATTAGACTTCCTTTGCTATTCTTGAATAAACTCACTTTTACTTGAAAAATAACTGCTTAATTTTAAGGTGAGCAGCTATAAACAAGAGGAATTGTACATTCCCTTTCTAATATTAAATACTGATAAAGTTTTGTATAGGAGCTCTATAGTTTACAATGTATTTTTTTTTCATTCAAAGTACATTGAAATACCTAAACCAGAAACTCTGAAACTACCCAAGTAGAATGAAATAGTGTTATTAGATGGTAGAAGATGTCCAGTGTTTTTCAAAGGCTATTGTTCAGGAGAGTTATCTAAAGTGATAGTTAAAAGTACAGCAGTTGTATTTTCAGCTAATACCACAAGTTATTCTGAGGCAGTAACTGAATGGGCCAGGTAATAAAAATGGTGCCTGATAAACCAACACAATTAGACCTAACATATTACTTATAGTTGATTAGTGAGAAGGAAATTGAATCATTCTGTATAATAGAGCTGTATAATATTTGAGATGCTAAATTTTTTTATTTATTTTTATTAGTTGGAGGCTAATTACTTTACAATATTGTAGTGATTTTTGCCATACATTGACATGAATCAGCCATGGATTTACATGTATTCCCCATCCCAATCCCTATTACTAAGCCATTAAAAAGAATTTATTTGAATCAGTTCTAATGAGATGGATGAAACTGGAGCCCATTATACAGAGTGAAGTAAGCCAGAAAGATAAAGACCAATACAGTATACTAACACATACATATGGAATTTAGAAAGATGGTAACGATAACCCTATATGCAAAACAGAAAAGGAGGCACAGATGTACAGAACAGACTTTTGGACTCTGTGGGATGCTAAATATTTTTAAAACTTTTTATTTTATATTGGAGTACAGCTGATTAACAATGTTGTGATAGTTTCAGGTGGACAGCAAAAGAACTCTATCACACATATATGTGTATCCATTCTCCCACAAACTTCTCTCCAATCTAGGCTGCCTCATAACATTGAGGAGATTTCCATGTGCTGTACAATAGGACTTCATTGATTAGCCATTTTAAATATGGCAGTGAGTACATGTTGGTCCCAAGCCTCTTAACTATCCCTTCCTCCCATTCTTCCCCCATGGAATATTAAATATTTTTAATACAAAAATAATCCTGTCTGTCTTTTAAGATTTAAATAGTCCGTATGTTAAGGGTCTTCTTTTCTCTCTTCTTTTCTCTCTCTTCTGTTTTTTTCCCCAATGCCCAGCAAGGAATAGTCAGGATGCAGTCAGAGTCGGGGAGATAGGGGAATGGGGAAGCGATCTCAGCCAGTGCCTCTGTGAAGAGGTAGGCGTTGGGTCGTGCAGTCCTAGGAAGGACTTCAGTCCCCTTTCCTCAGAGAGTTAGGATGTACACGTCCTCATTCCATGGTGGGCTCCTTTCTGCACTCTTGGATGGATGCTGGAGGAGGAGCATCCACCCAGGACACGGTGCACAGGCTGTTGCCTCCCAGCTGCCTCAGGTCCACACTGAGATGCTGAGCTGCAGGAGGAAAGCTCCTTGCAGGCTGCTCATCCTTTGTTCCTTCCATGGCCCCTTGCCTCCCTTCCCGAAGGTGGGCTCTGTGCTGGGGGATTTATTGCTCTTTCTAGTCAACCAAGAAGTGTTTATAAGTAAATTTTAGGAGTGTACTTGCTTTGTGTGTATTCTGCAGCCAGGGAACAACTTCTCAGCTTTCTTTGCTTGTTTCTGGAGCCTCTCCTGTGTTTGGTT